CAGACAAACACTAAACATAGTTCTCACACACACCGATCACACACTTGCTTGTTATAACCATTTCAATTCCAGGTGATACCATACTACCTGCTCAATTTCTAATGCAGTCCGTACGTTGGTCAAATTCCAAACAAATTTTCTTTAGAAAATCGGAAATTTTGTGCGTCTGTTGTAGAATGCAAACTAGTTGTTGATATTGGATCCTTAGTGTGGTCAGACCATTTCCCCGAATTTTCTCACATTTGAAATACCTCATGCTTCTCTATCGGACTAGACATAGCTTCTAAACCAGGGGTCAGCAGCTCGTCGATTGTGGTCTACCTGTCAACCGTGGGCAGGTGACAGGTACACCACAAACAAGTACCTGCGCTGCCAACCCCCACCTTTTACTTGCCGGTCTCTCTCTCCCCTATCCCCCAGCTTCCTCTGCTGCTGCTGACATTCTCAGCGCACAGCAGAAGACAGCACGGCTCAGAACGGAGGGCAGGAGAAGGAGCTAGAGAGGAGAGCTGTTAGTAAACAAAACAGTTATCCACCACGTCAGAGATCGTCGAAAATTACTGGGCGCCGGCGAGCAGTATTTCTGCTTTGGACAGGAAGCGGTTAACGCTGTTGGACAAGGTTAACGTGTTCAAGATGATCTACTTACCTAACCTAAATTTCTTTATGTTCACTCCGGTCCTCCAATATACATTCCTAAAAGGCTTTTCACACATATTAATTCATTGCACAGTTCTTTTTGTGGTGTTCTAAGGTACTTAGGGTGTCTCTTGAAATTTTGCAACGTCCTGTGGAAAGGGGGGGTCTTGCGCTGCCGGAAATTCACATGACCATACTGAAGGTTTGTAGGAATATGCAGAAGTTTAGCATCAATCAAATTTCGTATGCGCCTCTGGGTCTTTCACCGAGTGCTCTGCTATGGTGTAACCTGTGCTTGGGCGAGTTTTCTAAATTGGATGACAGTCGTATATGGACATACTATGTGGTTAAATACCTCTATCATTTATATGAGGATGGGAGGTTTAAATCCTTTCAACAAATGCAGATTGATTTGGGGCATACCTACCTCTTGGGGTTTTCATTATGCTGAGCTCAGTTATGCTGCATTACGACAATTTTGTGCGAAGGTGCTGTCTCTCTCTAACACTAGAAACTCTCCTGAGGCTGGAGCATAGTAAATTGCTATCTAGCTATTAAGCATTGACTTTGATAGATAGTAGACAATGCCATAGGACCAGGGAACGGTGGGGTGCTCATATACCAGCCCTGACGGAAGAGATGCGGTCAGAGGTGCTTCATTCATATGTAGCTCCTGCCATTTCTTCCAAGGATAAGATGAGATAACTCCAATACTTACACCAGATATATTATACAACAATACATTTATTCAAGATGGGTAGGCGAGACACTGCAACCTGTCATAAATGTTTAGCAGCTGAGGGAACGTTTCTGCATATGGTGGGGGAATGTGCTAACGTCTGACCACTGTAGTCGCAAGTTACCCAGTTTATGGCTGACGCTTTCAATTTTCCAGACGTATGTAGCCCGCCAACTTGCCTTCTGGGGGTAATTGAGGATGATATTATGGATAATACCACAAGAACTTTTTTTTTTTTTAAGTGTAAATTACAAAACAAAGCATATTGGGCATACCCAGGCTAAGAAAATAAGTGTAAAAACAAAACGGATAACAAGCAGCTTAACTTTTAAACTTTGTGACAACCATTGCCAGCCGGCACAACACTTTCCTCCCCTAGTAATAGGATAGGAGCAATACAAACAGTCTCCAAGGCTCCACAGCGTAATTAGAAGTATGCTGTACCAAATACAAGGATACAACATGTTAAAAAGCTAATGGGGTAAATCAACAGAAGCCACTGAATCTTTTGCATCTATCCATATATTCCAGACTTTACTGAACTTGTTAAGATAGCCCCTTGACTCAAATACAAATTTATACAATGAGATCATTTTGTTAACTATATGCTTCCAGAAATCAGATGTAGGAGCTTGTGGGGACTTCCATTTAGGAAGAATGACTCTACGTGCATAAAAAAGTAGTAAACCCAGTAAAGTTCTCATAGCTTTAGACATGGCTAGAAGATGAACTAAACCTAACATGCATACATGTTAAGGGTACAGAGATGGTCGTTACAGACCTGATACGTTGAGTGACCTCCAACCAAAAAGATTTAATCACTGGGCAATCCCAAAATACATGTAGGAATGTCGCCGGATCCTCCAAGCAATGCCAACATTTAGCAGAGTGGGAGGGATAAATCCTATGGAGTTTTTGGGGGGTGGAATATATTTTATCTAGTATTTTAAACTGAACTAAGTAATCTCTAGTTGAAACCAGTGACTGAATTGGATTTTCCCAGATGTCCTCCCAATCCTCTGTATCTAGCTCAGGTACCTCCTTCTGCCAGCTTGAGAGCAGCCTATCTAGGCCTTCATGAACCAATGATAGCAGAAATTTATACATACTAGACAATGAAGTCCTGACACCTCAAAAGATATGGGTTGATTACGAAACTGCTGCTGGAATGCATGATGTAGTTGGAGGTACCTGAACAAATATGAATTAGGGAGTGCATACTTTATTTTCAAGGAGTCAAAAATTTGAAGAATACCCACCTCACAAATTTGTGGAAGATATTTGATCCCTTTGGACTCCCAGACATTAGGATCTGGGCATACAAAGAGTTCATTGAGAGGGGGGGGGTTCAGCCACAAGGACATGTGAGGTGGCAGGATGATACAATTGCCAGGCCTTAATAAGTGATTTCATTGATTGTGTAATTGGGTAAGGAGCCAAAGCCCCTCTGTATAGCAGGTTTTTCAATACCTCATAGGAACCAAGATGTGCAGCTTCAAGCACCACTGCAGTGTTGCTCTCCTCCGCCGCCAGTCAGTTATGAGCATAAGTAAACAAAGCAGTAATACAATAGGTATAAAAGCTAGGGCACTCTAACCCCCCTTGTGTCTAAGGCCACTGGAGAGTAGCCAGTTTTAAACCTGGGCTGTCCAGAGTCCCAAATATAGGAGCACATTGCCGAATCAAATTGTTTGAAATTCTCCGGTATGGTTACCAAGGAAATATTTGAAAGAATGCACAAAAAAGAAGGGAGCAATTTCATTTTAAGAAGATATATTTTTCCTGTGAGTAGAGGGGAAGGTGTGCCCAAGCTGTCATGCATTGCTTTTTTGCAATAAGGGTAAAAGGTAATAAGCAGAGACCTGGGGAGAAACCCCCCCCCCCCCCAAATATTTAGCAGAGGAGGTCCACTCTAAAGGTAACTCTGGGTCCTGTGCTTTGTGGTCTAGGAGTACAATTTGTGACTTATCCCAGTTAACCTTTAAGCTGGATAAGGGGTAAAAGGAAGAGATTAAATGAAGTGCTTCCTTTAAGGGAAGGCCTCAGGTCATTAAGAAATAAGACTCCACCTCCAAAACAGCCGCCATATAAACCCAAACTACCAAATCAAAAACTTTGGCTACATCTAAAATAGAAAGGATTCAAGAGGCAGAGTCATTTGTGAGGAGTAGTACATGAGTACAAATTCTACGAAGATGATTATCTGTGGATTTCCCAGGTAAAAAAACCCATTTGATCTATGCTGACCAAGGAGGGCAGAAACTTCATCAGTCTCATGGCCAGGATTCTTGTTAGAATCTTTAAATTATAATTTAGGCGTGATATGGGCCTATATGATGCATAGTATTTGGGTCTTTGCCTGGTTTAGGTAATAGCATGATGTGCACTTGATACATAGAGTGAGGGAGAGTTTGGGACTCATTACTATCAGCAAATATTTTGCAGGGTCTTTGGGCCAGTTCCTTGGCATGCATCTTATACCAGTCTCCTGGCAAGTCATCTGGCCCTGGCATTTTGTTGAGGGAAAAGGATTGGACAGCTGCTTCAATTTCAAGGGCAGAGATCTCTGTCAAGAGCAGATACGGTTTTCTCCAACAGGTTTGACAAAGAGAGGCTCCGCAGGGTTTGCGCTAGAGAAGGACCATCTGGGGGGAAATCGGGTGATATAATTGTTGATAAAATCTCTGAAATTGTGAAAGTATATCTGAGGGGTCTGTGAGATGCTCCCCAGATTTCGAAATCAGTTCAGGTTGATTGTAGCCCTAGTACTGCTTAGACCTTGAAGAGGGGGACATTCCCCGAAAGCTTGTCCTCAAAATTGTATGTTAGTGCATATAAAAAAAGTATCACGGATAGAACTCAATTGAAATCAGTTCAGAAACAACTGTTAGCAGCCTGGTGTCTGCAAGCAAATTGACCAATAGCTTGCCATTTTTGTCTCTAGATTCAAACAGACTATCCGCCTGTATGGCAGCATCAGAGTGGGTTAGCGATGTAAGATGAAGTTCCAATTCCCTGTGGGCCAAAGCCAGCTGAGAGTAATTGTCCCCAGTAGGGGAAAGTGCAAAAGCTGAAGTCTCTCAGTGTTACAACACACCTACAATTCGATTATTAGACTTATTTCTTTGTGAGTGGGCAAACATTCAAAATCAGCAGGGGATCAAATACTTATTTCCTTCACTGTGTGTGTGTATATATATATATATATATATATATATATATGTGTATATATATATATATATATATATATATGTATATGTATGTATATGTGTGTGATCAGAGTCCTTAGACACAGTAGAAGAAAGCCCTTGAGGGGTATAATTAGTGTATTGTGTAAGATATATATGCCATCTGTCCACTGTATAATTTTGTCTATTTGGTGCACTTATAAACAATATAACAGTGATGCTAGTATAGTGCTATGTCATGGGAGTGTAGCTGTTTACTTTAGCTGGTTTCATATTTGTTTTTTCCTATGGTGAAAGGAAAGAAAATTCCATATATTAAGTGCTGCTTGAATTAACATAATTTTTCTTGTAAAGGAGGTTATGCTTTTTAGGTTGAGCGGTCTTGTTAATTTGCATGTTCATGGGGTTTTTATATTCTAATTTCTATTTTACAGGTGGATCCATCTCATACTGGCAGGGTAGGACCATCAGAAGCAGCACTCTTCCTCAAAAAGTCTGCACTTTCAGATGTTATCCTTGGAAAGGTATTTAATCGTTGTCCATATTGACATGCACAAGAAAAAGGATTAAAGTCTTTTACCTCTTGGCCAATGACTTTAACACAGATCCAAGTTAATGCTTCTACATAAACCTAATTTTTTAATTTATTGAGGGGAAAGACAAAATGTATTTGCTGAGATCAGTTTCTGACAGTTTTACATGAAGTATGCCATGTGTATTGCATAAATGTCTAGTTCTTTTTAAAAGATTTTTAAATAAACTATAAATTACAGATCTGAAAACATTTTTCACTTTATATTGTGGTTAAAGCGGAAGTTTAGATCCGCTGTGGACAAGCACTGTTCTGTGTCTGCCCCCATAGCGCTTCCTATGGGTGCAGATACAGAAGAGTAGGAGCCAAGAGTGCAGGCAGGGGAACACCAGAAGAGGAGGTCGGAGCTGCTCTGTTCAATATCATTGCACAGAGCAGGTGAGTATAACATGCTTAATATTTTAAGTTAAAAAAAACATTGGCTTTAAATGCTCTGTAACTATTCTTGTGTATTTCTGTTAATTTAGATTTGGGACCTAGCTGATCCAGAGGGAAAGGGTTATTTAGACAAACAGGTATAAAGAAGGTAATTTATACTTATTATATTTATTTTATATTTTGTGAGTTAAACTTTCATTTTTTTTTTCTTTAAATGCAGGGATTTTTTTTTTGCTTTGCGGTTAGTGGCCTGTGCGCAAAGTGGACATGAAGTTAACCTGGCCAGCCTAAACATACCAGTGCCACCTCCCAAATTTGTAAGTGTTTTTTTTCTGCTGTTTATAACTTTTTTTTTGCTTTTCTTAGTACTTCAGCAGCATGTTTACAATTAAATATACATACTGTCAGAATCTCTTCTCAAATTCTCTTACGTTGAAACTGAACTTTAGGGACGAAAAAAAGTTAACTCTCTTTTTTGTTTTACCTACGGAATAATGAATAGGGTGGTATACTTGCCTTATTCCTCTCTTCCTTGGCATCCAGCACTCTCTTCAGTTTGTCTGATGTCTTGGGTTGTGGGTGAGCCCTCAGCGTCCACACAGGCAGTGCAGGACTACTTGTCCGGCGTTGTATGGGATGGTGTCAGAGAGCTGTGAATGGTTGGGTAGCAAAGGGAAGACAATTCATATGGAGAGGAGAGACAGCCTTCGTGAGCAAGGAATAAGATAAGTATATCATCGTATTCATCATTCCCAAGGCAAAACAGCATTAAGATGTTTGGAACTGTTTCTCTGGTTGCATTCGGTTTTAATTATTTTCTTCTTTTGCCCCCTTACTGTACTTTAGCTGATTTGTTTTTATAAAAACTTTTTTTCATTTATATATTTATATTTCAGCAGCATAAAGTTTTACCAATTCATTTAGGGCGGCACATATTGGACACCATTAATAGTCTGTTACAGCAAAACTCTGGTGGAATGTGACCAGTGATGGACACAGCTATCAGAGGGCCATCCATGCAGGTATATTTGCAAGCCCTCTATTCTTTTTACTACACATATTACACTTAACATTACACACACACTGTACTGCAAAATTTTAAACTTTTATAAGAATATTGTAAGTAAGGATGACAGTACTTTACACCCTACTCCTGGGACTCAATGAGTACTGTATAAGGCAGACAGGTCTGGGCACACTAGTTTGTCAAGGTTTTCTAGCACTTGCTCTGCAGACTTACTAGTTTTTAGTTTTAAAGTCTACAGCAGAAAGAGAGGGCAAATGCCAGTGAGTACAAATTAGATTTCTAGGGCAAGAAAAACTCTAATTTGCAAGACAGTAAATGAAATGGCATGCTTGTTTAGTGAATTAAAAGGAAGCAAGTCTTCCTTAGAAGTAAATGGCAGGGTCAGTGACTGTGTACATTCACTGTACTATAAAGTTGGCATATGTTACTGACACTTGGAATTCCTATTGAAGAATTGGGAAATCCTGACATGCAACAGCAAACATGACTCAACCCAGCAAATATGTATGGGAATTAAGCCAGTAAATGAGGTTTAATACTATGGTGAATGATCTTACCAATGACAGGTGCTGAATAGGCATAAAATGATTGGCAAACCAAACAATGGTTGTTTGCAACAATTGTATACAACAGTTTTGGTAACTGTCAGAAGTCATGTGGTAATGCAATACCCAGCATGCAGAAAGCTGTAGTGCCTTAGTACAATAAAATAGCATGCTTGGATTTACAGGGTTAGCAACTAAATAATATTAATGACATTCTGCTGTTCCTTTCACTATTGCAGCTGCCTGCTTAGGATGCCACTTGCATGGTTAAGCAGCCCCTTTCCACGCCAGTACAGCGTGGCTTCAATTGTGGCCTCTGTTACACTACTGATTTCCTTTCCACTTAGAAATAGGGGCATGGGAAGAAGTACTGCTGGAAGTAATTGCATTGGCATGAACTTGGTCTGCGTGAAGTGGTTTTCCGAGCTTGTCCACCTTGAAACTAAAATGAGATAGCTCAGGGCAGGGTAAATAATTGTACTTCTGTAAACCAAAGGTCTGTTTTTCAATATGTTTGGCATTGTGTCCTTCTATATGCAGTTTTCATAAGCAAATTATTTTTCTGAATCTGTTGCAGTTTCTTACCTGGAGATCCTGGCAGTAACATCACTTTTTTCTATCAGACTAGTAATCCTAAGCAACTTTGTCACAAACTAGCAACAGCATTGTCAACCTGCTTTGTGTACTTCTTCAGTTGGCTGTTGGGCTGCGTATCAAGAATACTAAATAGGAAGAAGAAGATGCCATTGCAAGCTGACAAAGCTGCAGTAGTAGGAAGTGTAGTTAGTGCCGAGATCTCCAGGTAAACAACTTTGCAACAAATTCTTAAAAGAAAACTTTGCTTACGAAAGCTGCATACATTGAGGCATGACGTCAACCATGCTAACAAAAAAAAAAAAATAGATACAGGGTTTACATGGACTAACTCAAAAAAATCAGTAGCACTGCAGGGCCATTTCTCCATCTTTGAACGTGAACTCTGATATAAGTTTTAAGAAGTATGGAGCTGTGAATCATGCCCTAATGGTGTCCATGCAAGGCCCCATCTTCCTAACATTGGTTGCAACAGCTGAGTAGGATCTGGCTATAGAGGTCAGTAATTTATTCTTTTAAACTAACAGTAGCGTTTGCTACTGCACGCTGAGATTTTCCAATTTCTGGGTATGAGAAAAGGGAATGAGATTGTCATGTCATGAACCTCATACACATGCTTGCTGGTTGAGAACAGGTAGCCATCCCAACGCTTGTCACTTCCAGTGAGAAATCTCTGTAAGTAGCTTTTATCCTGCACTAAGATCTAATCCACCCTTAGATGTAATATTTTGAACCTCAGTTAATTGCAGATTACTACTCTATGTTCTAAGATTTGTTCTCATGACTATGTACATGAAAAGCTTATTTGCCAGTCTGGGCACTGGGGAAGATTTATAAATAGTACCTGAGAAAAACAGTTTCAATTGGAGCATAGCCAATCTGTTTTTAAAGTTTTATTTTCCATGCAATGTAGAAATAAAATATAGAAGCTGAGTGTATAGAAGAGTCTGTGGCGCCACTCTAAGCTAGGAAGCAAGAGTAGATCAACATACTGGTATTGAAAGAGGGAGCAGCGTATGTGAGTTATTCCAGTGACTTGTGTACAGTCAAGGAATGGACACTGCTCAGACCAGTCCCTGGATTCTGGTGTGTAGGGTGGCTCCACCGCTTCTCCAGCCACGCCCTTTGACGCATTTCACCCTGCCCATCGGGGATTGATCTGAGTGGCGTCCATTCCTCTATTGCACAGAAGCTGATTGGTTGCTTTGGACAATGATACCAGTTGAGATAGAACTTGCTTAGACACTGCTGTTTAATACCCCTGCCCATTTGCACAGTAGTGCTTTTCCTCTTTTGGCACTTGTCACAAAAAATGTTTTATATCCTTTTTGTTATATTGTTGTTTGTTGCATACAGTTGCAGGTTAAATGCATTTATATGGTGATTATTTTTAACGCTACAACAAAATTAGAAGTAAACTGATCATGAGAGAAATATGTGGGCTACTGTTGCCTGGCTATGATACTGATGTGTTTGCTTAAGGTTTAAGTCATTGACTCATACAAATATAAATTAGATTTTTGCCTTTCATTTACTACATACTTGTTCCCAGTCTGCGATTTTGAAGTATGCATACTAGACACAGCCAGGCAAGTAGCATTTTCAAGTAGACAGCTTATGCAGCCTCCATAATTCACTCATCACAGATGTGCTTTCATTGGCCTCTTGCATTTCCCTAGTTTCAAGTATTGTTTAGTTTTGGCTAATGTTTCGTCTTCATGCTGGCTGCAGTGCTCAAAAAAAATATTTCAAACCTAGGAAGCTACCAAAGCTTTGTTGATAAAGAGATGTTATCGTGAGCTAAATTTACATATATTTGACTGATAAAAAAATGATGTATGTGCTGCAGTCTGCTGATAACAAAGCTGTTTTTGTCTTTTCAGAGTCCCCTCTTAACAAATTTATTACCTAATTATTCTGTCAGTAGACCTCTTATATTTTCACTTCCCTTATTCTAGTGCAGTTACATTGCACAAAATAATTTTTTATCCTGTAGACAGGGTTGTCTAAGATGGACATGTAGTTTTAAATTAACTTTAAAGTGGTATTAAAGGTTCTGATTTAAAAATAAATGTCATACTTACCTGCTCTGTTCAGTGGTTTTGCAAAGAGCAACCCTCTTCCTCTTATTCTCAGGTCTCTCGCCGACACTCCTGGCTCCTCCCCCTTGACCAGTGCCCCCTATAGAAAGCAGTTTGCTATTTGGGCATTGGTGCGTGCTCGCTTTCAAGCCCGGCTCTTCTCATCTATAAGATATATAGAGCCGTGGCTCAGCCCTGCCCCCCACTCTCTCCTCATTGGCTCGCTGGCTGTGATAGACAGCAGTGGGAGCCAGTGGCTCCTGCTGCTTTCTCAGACAAGCAGGAGAGGGAGTCCTGGGACAGCCAAGGCTCTCGTGCACATCGCTGCATGAAGGTTAAAAACATTCTGCCTTTACAACCACTTTAAGTAGGAAATATAAAAATTAAGCGCAAAGCAAGCTAACGCTTTTTTTTTTTTTTTTTTTTTTTTACTTCAATAGATTTTTATTGAAGTTTCATAATGGAAAGGTTTATAACTACAGTGGTGAAAACATTTATTTGATCCCCTGCAGATTTTTTAAGTTTGCCCACTTACAAAGAAATGAAGGGCCTATAATTTTTATCATAGGTGTATTTTAAATGATAGAGACAGAATATCAACCAAACCAGAAAAAAACACACGATACAAATGCTATAAATTGAGTTGAAGTTCAGTGAGTAAAAAAAGTATTTGCTTCCCTACCAACCAACAATAATTCTGACTCTCATAGACTGGCTATGTGCACATGTGTACCACAGATTACTGTCAATTTAAGAAGGTGCTTCTAACGACAACTCGTTAGGTGTATAAAAAAGACACCTGTCCACAGAATCTCTTTCTTCCATTCAAACCTCACCACCATGTGCAAGACCAAAGAGCTGTGAAAGGTTCTCAGGGACAAGATTGTAGACCTGCACAAGGATGGAATGGGTTACAAGACCATCAATCACCCTCGGTCTGGAGCTATAAGCAAGATTTCGCCTCATGCGGTAAGGATGATCATGAGAAAAGTGAAGGATCAGCCCAGAACTACATGGGAGGAGCTTATGAATGATCTCAAGGCAGTAAGGACCACAGTCACCAAACAAACCATTGGTAGCACAATACGCCGCCATGGATTGAAAATCCTGCAGTTCCCCCAAGGTCCCCATCCTCAAGAAGGCACATGTCTCATCTGAAGTTTGCCAGTGAACATCTGAATGATTCATAGAAGGATTTGGAGTTCTTTGGCATTAACTCGACTCACCGTGTTTGGAGGAAGAAAAATGCTGACTATGACTCTAAGAATACCATCCCTACAGTCAAGCATGGAGGTGGAAACATTATGCTTTGGGGCTGTTTCTCTGCTAACGGTACAGGCCGACTTTGCCGCATTGAGGGGCCAATGGACGGGGCCATGTATTGTAAAATCTTGGGTGAGAACCTTCTTCCCTCAGCCAGAACAATGAAGATGGGTCGTGGATGGATCTTCCAGCGTGACAATGACCCAAAACATACCACCAAGGCAACAAAAAAGTGGCTCAAGAAGAAGCATATTAAAGTCATGGAGTAGTCTAGCCAGTCTCCAGATCTTAATCCTATAGAACATTTATGGAGGGAGATGAAAATTTGTGTTGCCAAGAAACCTTAAGAATTTAGAGAAGTTCTGTAAAGAAGAGTGTAGCAAAATCCCTCCTAAGATGCAAACCTGGTAACCAACTAGAAGAAACGTCTTACCTAACGTGCTTGCCAACAAGGATTTCTCTGCCATGTACTAAGTCATGTTTTGCTTGGGGATCAAATACTTATTTTACTCACTGAACTTCAACTCAATTTAGAACATTTGTATCATGTGTTTTCTTCTGGATTGTTGGTTGATATTCTTTCTCTATCATTTAAAATACATCTATGCTAAAAATTATAGACCCTTCTTTGTAAGTGGTTTTTCAATTTTAAAATATTCATAACCATTTTTTTTTTATTTACATTTAATTTTTTTATTTTCATTTTTGCCAACTTCCAAAATCTGCAGGGGATCAAATAATTATTTTCCCCACTGTAAGCAGAGAAAAATATTACATGTGATATTGATGATGTCAAACACCATCAAATATAGTGGTCATACTATGTTCCAACAGAAAAAGTGATAGGAGAGCAGCTAAGGTAAGATAGATGAGATCTACAAACCATGAAAGAAGCAAGAGTAGTTATTGCTTGAGTGGACATGATAGGTAGAGCGTTAGTATTGGAACTGTGGCAGTTGTATGGTTACCGATGAGATAGAACTTTCAATATAAAAGAGGAGTAGGTGGAAGAAAATTAAAGGAAAGTGGAAAGAGAAAAAGAGGAGAGGATGATTTCCTTATCCAGGGATCAAATGGTCCTTGAGTGTAGGAATTTTAAATCACGAGTGAAGGTGGTCAAGATTGGGTTCGAGATTTTTCACTCATGGGGCCCAGATGCTGTCAAATCTGGCCATGTTGCCAGTCAATTTTGCACTCATTTTTAATTGATCAAGGTAAAGTGATTCAGTTATTGCCTTAGTAAAAGCTTATTTATTTAATTTTTATTAAGGAAGGTCTCTAGTCTATGGTTTTTCAAGAACATATGGCTATAGTTTGGTATATTCTTGACCAAAATCTATGTAGCATAACATTGCTGCATAAACTGTGGGAAGGATACCCGAAACCAGTCTGGCTACCCTGGTAGTGATCAAGTTTTATCTGGACAGAAGCTTAAAGTGGTTATAAAGGCTCAAGGTTTTTTACTTTCATGCATTTTACCTCAACCCCCCCACCCTTTCCTTAAACTTCCATGAGCCCGATCCCAATCCAGCGATGTGGAGAAGAGCAGATGCTCTGCCTTCTCATTGACTGAGACACAGCGATGAGTGAGCATGCATGAGTGCCCCCTGGGCAAACAGCTTGCTCCAGGGGGCACTCAGCAGGCGGGAGGGGCCTAAAGAGCCGTCCGGAGACCTGAGAAGAGGAGGATTGGACTGCTCTGCACAGAGCAGGTAAGTATAAAATTTTTGTTATTTAAAAGAAAAAAATTGAAAGCTTTACAATCACTGTAAGCCCTGGTTCACACCGAATGTGATTTCAAAGTGGTGCAATTTGGTCCCATTTAAAGTGCGACTTCAAAGTAGCACTGATATAGACACAAGTGCGATTTCATTGCCAGTTACCTTCTAGCCTATGAGCGTTAAATCGCACTGAAGTGGTGAAAAAGTAATGCAGGAACTATTTTCAAATAACGCTACTTAAATCACACCTATTAAGAGCATTCAGTTAAGTGCCATAGAAATACATTAGATGCGACTTTACATGCAATTTGTAAATCGCTTGTCGCACCTGAAGTCGCAGCGGTGTGAACCAGGGCTAAAAGTTTGTCCCAACCTTTGTAAGGCTAGGTTCACATCTAAGCGTTTTGCTGTGCATTTTGCAGAAACACACTACAGTCATTTTAACATACTTTCCTATGGGACACGTTCACATCTGCACGTTTTCACCTGGTGCGATTTTTAGAATGGGTAAGGGACTTTTTTAAACGCAAAATGTTGCATTTTGGTTCAATAAACTTCAGTGGAGACACTGCAGAAATGCTTGTAGTATGTTTTTGATACATTTTTGAAGTTTTTAATTTGCCCAGCAACAAGTTGGCAAAAAAAAAAAAAATACCACAAAACGTGTCAAAAACACATATGAAAAAACGCACTGCAAAAAGCACTGCAGAAACGGATCAAACGCGCAAACTGTATAGGTGTGGTTCACCTTACTGCCACATTTGTTGGACAGCTTGCTCTGCTTGCAAATGGTGAATAAAAATAAGCATTTGAAACAAAATGGAATTAACACAGTAAATACTACGATTGCAGGCATCAACCACATGCAGTTACCCAAACACAATATTTTTCGCTATAGTCCTTTAATACTACATGCTCTAATTAATCAGCTAAATTTAGTACATAATGTGCAATAACTTTCCATTTTCTTTTGTTTTGAAGAATGATACCAGCAGCCCCCTTTTGATCACACCACCTCCTGTTGAAGGTCTTTGGTCTGTTCGGGTAAGTTTTGCTCAGATAACATGCACTAAAGAGATACTCTATGTACTGTAAAATTTATTATAATGAAACCTGTTGCAATCCTGATCATTTTACTGCGAGCATTTGAAGAAATAAAATATAACTATTATGGGTTTTTTTTTTTCTTTGGATTACTCGGTTTGAATTACCCAGGTTTGTGACAGGTTTAACCAGGGCCTTCTACCCTTCGGCCACTCCCCTCTCTCATTTGCCGGGATTTGCTGTGTAAATACAGTGACTGTTAGACTAGGTCAGTGTTTCTCAACTCCATTCCTCATGGACCCCCAACAGGTCATGTTTTCAGGATTTCCATTATTTTGCACAGGTGATTTGATCAGTTTCACTGCCTTAGTAATTACCACAGCTGTTTCATCTGAGGGAAATCCTGAAAACATGACCTGTTGGGGGTCCATGAGGACTGGAGTTGAGAAACACTGGACGAGGTTCACATTAGTGCAGTGCGATGTGGTGCATTTTTTTCCTACATTTTTAATGTATTTTTTTAATTATCCCTTCAGCCAGTAGGGATGAGTCATAGGTTTTTAAGGAGCCAGCAGCGGCCAGCTTCCTTACAACCAGTGACTCATCCCTGCTGTCAGCAGCAGAGATTAATTATTGGTTGTTCAGAAGCCGACACCCACCGGCGTCCTAACAACCGGTTGCTCATCCCTGCTATCAGCCAGCAGAGATGAGTTATAGGTTATTAGGGAGCCAGCACCCACCCACGTTCCAACAATGATGAGTCACCCCTGCTGTCATCAGGTGATTCCCCATTGTGCAGTATGTAAACAAAAGAGCCCACATAGAAAAAAAGTGTGTGGATCCTCCCCTTTGGTCTGGTGTGGGATCCCCCAAAATCAAAACCAGACCCTTTTCTGAGGATGCAGCACCCCCCCCCCCACCTCCTGAACCATACCAGGCCACATGCCCTCAACATGAGGCTGGGCACTTGATGAGGACAGGGGCCTCTTCCCCACAACCCTGACCTGGTGGTTGTGGGGATGCAGGGGTTAGCTTACCAGATTCACCAAAAAATATTAAAAGTAAATAAAAACACAAGACCAGTTGAAACGTCCTTCATTAAAAAGAAAATAAAAAGTTTCCTGAGTTATTGCTGAATTAACAGGTCCATAGCAAAAATCCAAAAATTGATCTAGCCTATAGGGGGTGTACAGGTGTGAGAGATTACATTTTTAAAGTGTGTTTAAAGCCAAAACTTTTTTTGGGGGGTGATAGACTGTAGAAGTGTTAGCACCTTAGGTTGTTAAAGTATCTGTAAACTCTCACCTTGTAAAACAACCCATTCAGTTTAAAATAGAAATTAAAGGCAAAACCTCATATATACGTGTAAAAAAACATTATAGATACCTTTTTGTTTTTTTCCCTTTTTTATAAGTGATCACTTACTCTCTGTTCTCGGCTACATAAGGAGCTCAGGGAGGAGAAACCGCAACACACTGATCTTCAAAGTGAATGGCTGTAAAGTGAGGGGTGTTGGCACAAGCTTAATCAGCTCCCAGCACCGCTAGAAAACTGAACACACTGTACACTCATAGCTAGTGTGGTCAGTTTTTAATAGGAAAGCAGAGGGACTGGCAGGAACACCAGGGATTTCATACAAAGGAAGCAATACAAAGAGAACATGATACTTTTTCATACAAGTACATGGTACAGCAGGCACATATCAGGAACATGAGACATTGGGTTTAATGCTGTGTCTCAACTGAGGAAATTCACCCTCACAATTGGTCTATGTGATCATTGTCTCTTGTACAAGGTGATAGGAAATTCAAACTTTTTAAGTTGTCATTGAAAGCTGTCCAAGAGGGGGATATCACTTTAAAGAAATCTTTTACTTCCTCCTGTTGCTCTGGGTCAGGAAATGAAAAGAAACAGAATGCATACGATGAAAAACACAAACAAAAAATAAAATGGTTCTAAACTTATCTATCCAAAAATAGCCTTACATACAGTGCATCCATAAAGTATTCAGACCCTTTCACCTTTTCAATGTTGTTATGTTGCAGACTGATACTATAATTGTTCAAATTCATTTTTCCCCCATTAATCGACACTTGGTACCCCATAATGTCAAAGTGGAAACAGAATTTTAGAAATGTCTGCGAATTTATTAAACAGAAAAAACTGAAATATCATATGTACTTAAGTATTCAGACCCTTTACTCAGTACTTTGTTGACACAACTTTGGCATCAATTATAGCTTAAAATATTTTTGGGTATAACGCAACACGTTTTGCACACCTGGACTGGGGGGTTTCAAGTCAGAGCTCTGGCTGGGCCACTCTAGGACATTCACAGTGTTGTTCCTAAGCCATTCCTGTGTTTTGACTGTGTGCTTAGGATCATTGTAATGTTGAAAGGTGAACCTTTGGCCCGGTCTGAGGTCCTGAGTGTTGTGGAACAGGTTTTTATTGAGGATATCTCTGTAATTTGCTCCATTCAGCTTTCCCTCAACCCTGATCAGTCCCCAAGTCCCTGATGCTGACAAACATTATGCTGCCACCACGCTTCACTGTTAGGATGGTATTGTGATGAGCGGTGCCTGGTTTCCTCCTGACATGATGTTTAGAATTTAGGCCAAACCATTTAATTTTGATTTCATCACACCAGAGAATCTTGTTCCTCACAGTCCAAGAGTCCTTCAGGTACTTTTTTGAAAACTTCAGGTGGGCTTTTATTTATTTTGCACTGAGGAGAGGCTTCCATCTAGCCACTCTGCCATAAAGCCCAGATCAGTGCAGGGCTACAGTCATGGTTGTCCTTCTGAAATTTTGTTCCATCTCCACACTGGATCTCTGGAGCTTAGTCAGAGAGACCATCGGGTTCTTGGTCACCTCTCTTACTAAGGCCCTTCTCTGGTTGCTCAGTTTGGCTGGGCAACCAGCTCTTGGAAGAGTCCTGGTTGTGCTGAACTTCTTCATTTTGAGAATTATGGAGGTCACTGTGGTCTTGGTAATCTTCACTGCAGGAGAATTTTTTTGTTGCCTTCCCCAGATCTGTGCCTTGCAATAATCCTGTGTCTGAGCTCTAAAGACAGTTCCTTTGACTGCATGGCTTTTGCTCTGATACAGTATGCATTGTCTGCTGTCAGGCCTTTTATAGAGTAGTGTGTGCCTTTCTAAAATGTGTCCAATCAATTTAATTTACCACAGGTGGGTTCCAATCAAGGTGTAGAAACATCTCGGCAACAATCACGAGAAATAGGGGGCACCTGTGCTAGATTTTAAGTGTTGTTGCAAAGGGTCTGAATACTTATGCCGATGTGATATTTCAGTTTTTCCTTTTTCATACATTTGCAAACATTTCTAAAATTCTATTTTCACTTTGTCATTATGGGGTACTAAGTGTATATTAATACGAAAAAACAGAATTTAACCAACTGTAGTATTCGGCTGCAACATAACAAAATTCAAAAAAGTGAACGGAGTCTGAATACTTTATGAATGCACTGTACTTTAACATTTTCTTTTGTTTTAGATTTAAAAATGTTTGAAATGAAAGAACATGAGCTGTGTTGTCTTGTCTTCCGTAGATGTACAATAAGTAAAAACTTGCAATGCATACAGTAATTGCTTTGTTCCAGTCTAAATGTACTTCTTCAGCCACTCAGTCAGTACCAGCTTTTAAGATGGCTCATGTCAGCCACACTTATCCATAGAAGAGAATAGGAAATAATGTAAAATTGTTTAGCAGTAATCATTCTGGAGTGCAACTCTTTTTCTACATAAAAAAGCATGTATTTTAAAATGGAGGTACTGTAAAGAAAAAAAAAAAAAAGACTTTGGTTAAAAAAAAAAATACCGGAGGAAAGAATATGTATGAACTGAACGAACATCTGCAGACAACATTCAGTTGCACTAACCAATCAATAAATGTTTTCTCTTTTCTGAACAACGAAACTGTGACCATGTTGTCACCAGGATTTCTGTGACTAGCATCAGCAAGCAGTTGCTGTTCAACAACAATCTACTCAGACCACAGTTTACTTACAAAACAATGGCTGTGAGCCACTCAGAAAATTCTGGCCAAAAAAGCCAACAGTTGGCTTCGACAGCCTGTCATTTTAAACAGACAAGAGAAGGCGGCATTTCTGATTCAGTGAAGAAGATGGCTTTTACACACCCGTGGGCAGTAATGCAATAGAATGTTTGATCATTTGTTTGCAGACATGTAAATCTGGTATGGTGTTCAGCAAAGCATCAATATTTAGTCCATATAAGTAGTAATGGTAATATAATCATTTATGCCTGCCTGCATACAGTTGTTTCAGGTTTGTAGGCCATCATCAATACACTAAACCAGTTTTGGATATACAGTTAACCAAGGGCCTTAAATATATGATTTACATGGCTCTGCTCATTAGCATAGAATGAGGAATAAATCTTCTTTTGGAATATATGATTGAAGGGAGACCTGTAGGTAACAATGTAGATCCTGTTATAGGAAGGTTTTAGCTGTGCTTAGATACTGGCTCAGTGACACTCTTTAGTTATATTTTTGGTCCACCACACAATAACCTGTCTGATTTATACTTTTTCAAAATAAAAGTAGTTCTGGTTGCTTTAGCAATTGCTATTTGTTGGTGTGGCTGTAGTACACCCATTTCATATATCTTTCCTATAGTATGGATACAGTGTAGTGAAATGAACAACATACAGTACATATCAGATGGTAATATTTTGTGCATTTCAGTATTACCAAAATAATGCAGAAATGAATAATTCATCAATGAATATTGGTACTGTAGGATCAAGCCTGACAAAATCTAGTTGAAGAACTGTATCCAAAATGCATTTATACGTTATATTTGCCTAGTGGAGTAATCTTAAAGCATAACTTTGGTTTGAATAAAGTTGTTTACCAAATTCCCTCCCAACTTACCTGTGCAGTCCTCAGCACAAGTAAGTCACCTTTTACGTACTTTAGATGTGTGATCACCCAGATCAGACAAACAGTGGCTTCGTTCACCTTCTGCATGCTCTGGAAAATGGGGAGATGCTCACTTGTACTCCATCATTTTGTTTTCTAATCGCTAGTACATGCCCCAGGTCAGGGAAGAATGTGAATCTCCGAATTTCACCAGGGATGTCTAAACAGGTCTGAGTTTTACTTAAGAGATGAGTGGGGGAGGGTAGACTAGGGCAAATTATTTTAAAAACACACTATGCTATAAAAGGAAATTGTAATGGATTTGGGTCAACTTTTTTAATGTATACATTTTTATATTTATATATATATATATATATATATATATATATATACACATACACAGTGGGGATCGAAAGTTTGGGCACCCCAGCTAAATATTTGTATTAATGTGCATAAAGAAGCCAAGGAAAGATGGAAAAATCTCCAAAGGCATCAAATTACAGATTAGACATTCTTATAATATGTCAACAAAAGTTAGATTTTATTTCCATCATTTACACTTTCAAAATAACAGAAAACAAAAAAATGGCGTCTGCAAAAGTTTGGGCACCCTGCAGAGTTAATATCTTGTACTGCCCCCTTTGGCAAGTATCACAGCTTGTAAACGCTTTTTGTAGCCAGCCAAGAGTCTTTCAATTCTTGTTTGAGGTATCTTTGCCCATTCTTCCTTACAAAAGTCTTCCAGTTCTTTGAGATTTCTGGGCTGTCTGCCATGCACTGCTCTTTTAAGGTCTATCCATAGATTTTTAATTATGTTGAGGTCAGGAGATTGTGAAGGCCATGGCAAAACCTTCAGTTTACGCCTCTTGATGTAATCCCCCGTGGATTTCGAGGTGTGTTTAGGATCATTATCCATTTGTAGAAGCCATCCTCTCTTTAACTTCAACTTTTTCACAGATGGCATCAAGTTACCATCCAAAATTTGCTGAAATTTTATTGAATCCATTTTTCCTTCTACTCGTGAGATGTTCCCTGTGCCACTGGCTGCAAGACAACCCCAAAGCATGATTGATCCAACCCCATGCTTAACAGTTGGACAGAGGTTCTTTTCATTAAATTCTGTGCCCCTTCTTCTCCAAACGTACCTTTGCTCATTCCGGCCAAAAAGTTCAATTTTAACCTCATCGGTCCACAGAACTTGTTTCCAAAATGCATCAGGCTTGTCTATATGTTCATTTGCAAAGTTCAAACGATGATTTTTGTGGTGAGGACGTAGAAGAGGTTTTCTTCTGATGACTCTTCCATGAAGACCATATTTGTACAAGTATCTCTTTATAGTGGAATAGTGTACCACAACTCCAGTGTCTGCCAGATCTTTCTGGAGGGATCGTGCAGTCAAACGTGGGTTTTGAATTGTTTTTCTCACAATCCTGCGAGCTGTTCTGTCTGATATTTTTCTTGGTCTTCCAGATCTTGCTTTAACTTCCACTGTTCCTGATGACTGCCATTTCTTAATTACATTTCAAGGATATACAGAGGATATTGACATCTGAAAACGCTTTGCTATCTTCTTATAGCCTTCTCCAGCTTTGTGAGCGTAAACTATTTTCAGTTTCAGTTTTCTAGACAACTGCTTAGAAGAACCCATGGTGCTGATTGTTGGGGCAAGGTCAGATGAGTCTGGGCATTTAAAACCTTTGAGATTGACATCACCTGGTCTTCCCAGACGATGATTGAGAACAATCCATGACACTGGCAGGTCTCAGCTTTGCAAAGGGGGCAGTGCATGCTATAAATTCTGCAGGGTGCCCAAACTTTTGCAGACGCCATTTTTTTGTTTTCTGTTATTTTGAAAGTGTAAATGATGGAAATAAAATCTAACTTTTGTTGACATATTATAAGAATGTCTAATCTGTAATTTGATGCCTTTGGAGATTTTTCCATCTTTCCTTGGCTTCTTTATGCACATTAATACAAATTTTTAGCTAGGGTGCTAAAACTTTCAATCCCCACTGTGTATATGTGTGTGTATGTGTATATATATATACACACACACACACAGTTAGGTCCATGTATATTTGGACACAGGCACAATTTTAGTTTATTTTGGGTATGTACCAATGTACCAAAACATATTCAAGCTATAGTTATATAATGGATATGGGCTGAAGGTGCACACTTTCAGGTTTAATTTGAGGGCATGTACGTCCAAATTGGAGGAAGGGTTTAGGAATTACAGCTCTTAAGAGTAGCCATCCCCCCTTTTTCAAGGGACCAAAAGATAATTGGACAAATGAATATAATCCTAAATAAAATTTTCATTTTTAATATTTTGTTGAGAATCTTTTACTGGCAATGACTGCCTGAAGTCTGGAACCCATGGACATTACCAAAGACTGGGTTTCCTCCTTTCTGATGCTTTGCCAGGCTCTAACTGCAGCTGTCTTCAGTTGTTTTTTGTTTGTGGGTCTTTCTGGCTTTAGTTTTGCCTTCAGAAAGTGAAATGCATTCTCAATTGGGTTGAGATCAGATGATTGACTCGGCCATTGCAGAATATTCTACTTCTTTTCCTTCAAAAGCTCCTGGGTTGCTTTTGCAGTGTGTTTTGGATCATGGTCCATCTGTACTGTGAAGCGCCGTCCAATCAACTTTGCTGCATTTGGCTGAATCTGGGCTGACAGTATATCTCTAAACACTGCAGAATTCATCCAGCTGCTTCTGTCTTCTGTCACATCATGAATAAACACCAGTGACCAGTGCCACTGGAAGCCATGCATGTCCATGCCATCACACTGCCTCCACCATGTTTTACAGATGACTTGTGCTTTGGATCATGAGCTGTTCCAAGCCTTCTCCACACTTTTTTCTTCCCGTCATTCTGGTACAGATTAATCTTAGTTTCATCCATCCAAAGAATGCTTTTCCAGAACTGGTCTGGCTTTTTTAGATGTTTTTTGGCCAAGTCTAATCTGGCTTTTCTCTTCTTCAGGCTTATGAATGGTTTGCACCTTGTGGTGAACCCTCTGTATTTGCTCTCGTGAAGTCTTCTCTCTTGATTGTAGACTTTGGCAATGATACGCTCACCTCCTGGAGAGTGTCCTTCACTTGTCTGGATGTTGTGAACGGGTTTTCTTTACCAAAGAGAGGATCCTGCAACCTTCCACCACTTTTGTATTCTATGGAGATCCATGCCTTTTTATGTTGCTGAGCTCACAAGTGCGTTCTTTCCCCAGAATGTACCAAACTGTTGATTTGGCCACTCCTAATGTTGCTGCTATTTTTCTGATGGATTTGTTTCATTTTTGAAGCCTTACAATGGTCTTTCACTTGCATGGACAGCTCCTTTGCACGCATGATGTAGGTTCACAGCAATAGATTCCAAATGCAAATACCACACTTAGTATCAACTCCAGACTTTTTACCTGCTTAATTGATGAAGAAATAATGGAGTAGCCCACACCTGGCCTTAAAACGGCTTTTGATTCAACTGTCCAATTAATTTTGGTCCCTTGAAAAAGGGGGGATGGCTACTCTTAAGAGCTGTAATTCCTAAACCCTTCCGCCAATTTGGATGACCGTACCCTCAAATTAAACATGAGCGTGTGCATTTTCAGCCCATATCCATTATATAACTCTAGCTTGAATATGTTTTGGTAAATACCTGAAAAAATCTAAAATTGTGCCTGTGTCCAAATATATATCGACCTAACTATATATGTATGTGTGTGTGTATATATATATATATATATATATATATAAAAATTTATTTTTATTTTTTTTCCTAGAGAAAAAAGTATATACAAATCCGCTGTGCTTTCACTTTTTGAAGAATAGCTTGTAATCCCTAACATTGTTTTGTTGCCATTACCAGACAGAAGAGAAAGCTAAGTTTGATGGAATTTTTGATAGCCTATTACCAGTGAATGGTTTACTATCTGGAGACAAAGTGAAGCCGGTACTGATTAACTCCAAGCTACCTCTGGACATACTAGGACGGGTAAGAGCACTGTTGCCTGTGTTTATGTAGTATGCCAGTTAAGGTAAAAGCCCAAAATAAGACAAAAAAATGTAAATAGGAAGATGTTTACCTGTGACTTGTTTTTGAATACTCTGTTTTTAGGGAGAATGAAACGATAACTTAAATTATATTTAATTGCACCCATTTGCTTACATACAGTGGGGCAAAAAAGTATTTAGCCAGCCACCAATTGTGCAAGTTCTCCCACTTAGAAAGATGAGAGAGGCCTGTAATTGGCATCATAGGTAGACCTCAACTATGAGAGACAAAATGAGAAACAAAATCTAGACAATCACATTGGCTGATTTGGAAATAATTTATTTGCAAATTATGGTGGAAAATAAGTATTTGGTCAATATCAAAAGTTCATCTCAATACTTTGTTATATATCCTTTGTTGGCAATGACAGAGGTCAAACGTTTCCTGTAAGTCTTCACAAGGTTGGCACACACTGTTGCTGGTATGTTGGCCCATTCCTTCATGCATATCTCCTCTAGAGCAGTGTTGTTTTGCCAGGCTGTCGCCTGGCAACACGGACTTTCAACTCCCTCCAAAGATTTTCTATGGGGTTGAGATCTGGAGACTGGCTAGGCCACTCCAGGACCTTGAAATGCTTCTTACAAAGCCACTCCTTCGTTGCCCGGGCGGTATGTTTGGGATCATTGTCATGTTGGAAGACCCAGCCACGTTTCATCTTCAATGCCCTTGCTGATGGAAGGAGGTTTGCACTCAAAATCTCACGATACATGGCCCCATTCATTATGTCCTGTACATGGATCAGTCGTCCTGGTCCCTTTGCGGAGAAACAGCCCCAAAGCATGATGTTGTCACCCCCATGCTTCACAGTAGGTATGGTGTTCTTTGGATGCAACTCAGCATTCTCTCTCCTCCAAACACAACGAGTTGTGTTTCTACCAAACAGTTCTATTTTGGTTTCATCTGACCATATGACATTCTCCCAATCCTTTTCTGGATCATCCAAATGCTCTCTAGCAAACTTCAGACAGGCCCAGACATGTACTGGCTTAAGCAGGGGGGACACGTCTGGCACTGCAGGATCTGAGTCCCTGGCGGCGTAGTGTGTTACTGATGGTAGCCTTTGTTACGTTGGTCCCGGCTCTCTGCAGGTCATTCACTAGGTTCCCCCGTGTGGTCCTGGGATTTTTGCTCACCGTTCTTGTGATCATTTTGACCCCACGGGGTGAGATCTTGCGTGGAGCCCCAGATCGAGGGAGATCATCAGTGGTCTTGTATGTCTTCCATTTTCTAATTATTGCTCCCACAGTTGATTTGTTCACACCAAGCTGCTTGCCTATTGCAGATTCAGTCTTCCCAGCCTGGAGCAGGTCTACAATTTTGTTTCTGGTGTCCTTTGACAGCTCTTTGGTCTTCACCATAGTGGAGTTTGGAGTGTGACAGTTTGAGGTTGTGGACAGGTGTCTTTTATACTGATAACAAGTTCAAACAGGTGCCATTGATACAGGTAATGAGTGCAGGACAGAGGAGCCTCTTAAAGAAGAAGGTACAGGTCTGTGAGAGCCAGAAATCTTGCATGTTTGTAGGGGACCAAATACTTATTTTCCACCATAATTTGCAAATAAATTATTTCCAAATCAGCCAATGTGATTGGATTTTTTTTCTCATTTTGTCTCTCATAGTTGAGGTCTACCTATGATGCCAATTACAGGCCTCCTTCATCTTTTTAAGTGGGAGAACTTGCACAATTGGTGGCTGACTAAATACTTTTTTGCCCCACTGTAAGGTTAATGTCTTCCTTGCCTCACTCAGGTGATAGTGCTTGGGCCTGGCAAGGCCTGAGCATGGCATCCAGGGGGAAGATGGTACTGTCCTCAAATGGAAAAAGATGTCAGTGGAACCTGAGGAAGGCATGTGGGTGGTGTGGTTATTCTTAAAAGAGAACCCGTCACTTTGCCCTGAATGGAGATTTCCCTTCACTACCATGGTGTGGTTATTTTTAAAAGAGAACCCGTCACTTTGCCCTGAATGGAGATTTCCCTTCACTACCAGTTCCAGAGACACACCAGAAAGTGAGAGGAAATCTTCCAAATTAATGGGAAATTTCATCTTAGACAGTTGTCTAAGATGGCACAGATGTACCCATTAGAAGAGTTCTTCTATATTCCTGCTCCAGTGACAACTGCAAAATTTTGGATTTCACTTCATTTTCTGTCCCTTTGTCAGTGGTGATACTAAATTCTTGGTGGGTTTTTTTTTTCTTTCTTAAAATGACAAAAATGTTATAGTGGTTTTGCACAGAGCAGCCCGGATCCTTCTTTTCTCTGGTCCCCAGTTGGCATTCCTGGCCCCTCCATCCTATTGGGTGCCCCCACAGCAAGCAGGTTGCTATGGTGACACCCAAGACGCGCTCCTGAGCCGTTGCTTTGCATGTCCATTTACAACACAGAGCCGCGGCTCGGCCCCACCCCCTCCCTTATCTGATTAACATGCTGGTTGTAATTGACAGCAGTGGGAATCAATGGCTCCTGCTGCTGTCTCAGGCAGGAGTGAGAGTCCCCAGAGAACCGAGACTTTGCTGGATCGAGAGAGGGCTCAGGTAAGTGTTCTGCTACATACAGAATGTTTTTTTACCTTCCTGCATAGAATGTATAAAGTTAAAAAACATTGAGCCTTTAGAACTACTTTAAAACAGGGATTCTAACCCTTCCACATTCTTAACTAAAAACTAAAGTCTTTAGATTTACTTTTTCTGCTTGGAGGGTGGAACAGAGGACCTAGGATGAGCCATGGCTAGAAATAAGTTTTTACTTTTTTTCGTGATGTCTTTTAAGCAGCGAGTGAGACTTCCCTCTTTGTTGATTTAGCATTATAAATGTTCATTATTTGTTACTCATGAAGAAGATAAACTTCCTGCTTTGTCGTCCCCAAACTTAGAGAAAAGGGCTTAGAGGTAATTTCAGACAATTTCTTGTGAACCTTGCTTCTGAGTCATATGTCCTTTTGTATGGTTCCAGATTTGACACTGCGTTTGCCTAATACATAAGTCAGGCACATTGAAGGAGATGTGCAGGCTAGTACACCACTGTATTAAAGGATCTGTATTTTCTCTAGGCAACAGTCTGTGTTGTAATTCAGCAGCTGCTCTAAGTAATTACATTCTTTTTTATTAAAGATCCGAGTTTAATGAAGGGAAAGACATCTGTAATAAAATAATCAGATGAGGTAGAATCCAGGCACATCATCGTATTTTCTTTACTAATGGCGTTTACCGTACAAGGAATGTGCAAACCAGTGAATATGTGGTAATTGGTTAATTATCCTGAAGCCGACATTAAAGCTCAACATACAGGTGTAAAATAGTCAATTCAATAGAACCAAGATTCAAGAAATTGGTTCTCCTTTGTGATTTGAGGAATGTACAACTTCTTCCATGGTTTTAACCTTATTAGCTTTGTTAAGCCACACACTAATTGGAGGGGAACAGTATGTTTCCAATATAAAAGAATGCAGGCTTTAGCTGCCTTCAGAAGATATATTGTGTTTTAAATCATTATTTTTTTTTACACAAATAATGGCCATTAATATCTACTTCAATACCAGAAGAGTAATTTGTCTTTTGACCACAGGTTTGGGAACTAAGTGACATAGACAAGGATGGACATTTGGACAGGGATGAGTTTGCAGTGGTAAGTGTGATATTACTGCACGTACTAAACAGATCAGCACACTTTTTTTTTTTCTAAAGACAAACACCAATGTATACAGTTTTCAGTAAGTGGCATTGCAATGTGGTGCAAAAAAAAAAAAAAAATCTTGGCCATATTCTTTATAAATATATTAAAATTGTCTTGTAAGGAGATGAATAACTTGTTCTGAAGGAGAGCTCACAATCAGGAAGAGTTCTATGTGCGTAATGCAGATCTTTTAACAGAGAGACAGTGAGTTGCAGTCTGATGGATGTGGATCACGGGGCACAGAGTGAACACTTTTATATATGAAGATTTCACCTAAAGATATCATAATAGAACACTCTGGAAATACAAGTGGATTTTATGAATTTGTGGAATATTAATTTATATTTAAATTATTGCACAAGTTGATTGTATGAGAACATGTGGGAGATTGGAGTTTATTTCATGTATATACAATTTTTGAACATGAATTTTCACATTTTATTTAGAGCAATAGGATAGTGTTTTAATTAGTGATCTAATTTTTTTTGAAGCACATATTATTAGTTTACTTCACAGTGCTGCAATCGGTTCCAATTTATTCTGTTTGGGATTATTGTGGAGAAATTTGTATAATACAGTTATACACCAATTAGCTATAACAGTATGACCAGCCACCATAACCCACTGAGACATGGACTCCACTAGACCTCTGAAAGTATGCTGTGGTATCTGGCACCAAACCTTCAGTGACAGATCCTTTAAGTCCTGTAAGTTGCATGGTGGGGATTCCATGGATCAGACTTGTTTTTTCAGCACATCCCACAGATGTTCGATTGGATTGATATCTAGATAATTTGGAGGCCAAGTCTACACCTTCAAACTCATGTTCCTCAAACCATTCATGAATTCATCAGACCAGACCAACTTCTTCCATTGTTTCTGTGGTTTAGGTCTGATGCTCTTGTGCCCATTGTAGACGCTTTTGGTTGTGGACAAGGGTCAGCATAGACACCCTAACTGGTCGGTGTCTACACAGCCCAATGTTTAACCCCTTCATGCCGGTGCCTCCTGGCCCTTTAAGAGTTTCAGGAGGCGGGGCGGGGTTGAGGGTCATGTGACCGCCGTGACACGTCGTCACGGCGGTCACATGATCGGGAAAGGTCCCGATCGAAAGAGGATCGGGACCTTTCCGTGAGTACAGGACATGTGTGCTGGGAGCGCGCAGGGCGGGCGCACTCGGCACATATGTCCTTTTTTAATAGAACGCAAATATGCGGCCGCTCGGCGTCTAGGCCCAGACGCTGGGAGGCTGCACATTTGGTTTTGGCTGGCGTGAAGAGGTTAATATGTGACAAACTGCAATGCACTGTGTTCGGACACCTTTCCATCATGAACTTTTTCAGAAATTTAAGTTACGGTAGCTCTTGTGTTGGGTTGGACTACATGGGTCAGCCTTCGCTCCCCATGTGCATCAGTGAGCTTTGGCTGTCCATGACCATGGTTTGCCGGTTTTCCTTCTTTGGACCACTTTTAATAGGTCCTGACCACTGCAGACCAGGAACATTCAACAAGAGCTGCGGTTTTAGAGATACCCTGACACAGCCATCTGGCCATTACAATTTAGCCATTGTCCAAGTCGATCAAATTCGTTGGCCCTGTCCACTCCTTTGTCCGAGTTTGCCCTCAGCAAGTCACGTACTGAGGGAGCACCTGGTTCAACAACTTTTCTTTGCCATGCAGAGATGACCCAGAGTTAAAGGATTGAACAAATCCTCCTACATAAGTTGTAGCTGTCTATCTGCAGTCTTCTCTACCTCAGTTCAAAGTCCAGAATTAAGAATGCCTGAGTGGTCAGAAAAAAGGGGGCAGAAAGATGAAATCACTCTGCAGAGCTCAGTGAGGAGAGTTCTGAGAGCTGATTGGAGGGAAAAGGCACCCCCCTTCACACAGGAACAGAGTTGAGGCTGTCATTCACAAGCTCTGTGCTGGAGATCCCTCCCCATCCCCTTTTTTTTTTTCATGGTGTCAGGAAAACATGTCAGAAGAACTCATATAGATAGCAAAGGAATGAGACAGCAGACAAAAATGAAAGTTAGAGCTCTGTACTGAGACAAATACGCACTAAACAGGGATATGCTTTGTACATATTTCATGTCTGAGGTTTACAACCACTTTAATTCATGCATACATGCTGCAAGTTAATTGTTCCAGGCACCAAGAAATGCCTGAAATGTACACTAAGCTGTTTGCAAGCATGCAGATAAGAATGGATTATTTCATAAGACACATAGTATGTCTTATCTACAACAAAACATCTGCCTCCCCACTTACTCCTGTGGTAAAGTTCCTCTTTAACTGACATCTACAGGTAACCCTCTCTGAGAAAATCATAGATGTTGCCATTGCTGATGTGATCTATCAGATTGCATGGCTATTGTGCTGACCTGCTGTCCCTTACTTGAGATAAAAATGCAAAGTGTGGAAGTCAGAATAAAATCAAAACCTTGCTCTGGTTTAGTCACTTAAACTATTTAGAAAGTTTCTGTCACATGCCCATTCATGGCAGAGTGACAGTGTCAGCTGATGCCCCACAAACTCCCCCACCTCACAAGCTTGGAAACATACCAGTTTACACCTTCTTGCTGCCTCCTCCTCACTGCAGGAGTCTACCTTGAGTAAGTTCCATTGTTGGAGCTTACCCAAGTGGATGATGTTAATGCCACTACATCTCAGTTTTCAGGCCTAGTTATTGGCCACTCAAGCCTGACCACTGTCACTTGGGAGAATTCATGTGCTCACCAGCCCCCCCATACTCAGAAGTCCTGCTTTGCTACAGCAGTGGAACAGAGAGGCAGAAAGAATATATCTTCCTGGGGGGGGGGGGGGGGGGGGGGAAGAATCTGATATCTCTGTGTTTGCTTTCCCTCTTCACAAGGGTTGAGTTAATTTTACATACTGTATGGGGTGCAGAGCAATCTGTATATAGTTTCTGAGTATTATCCATGTATTTTGTAGGCAATGCATCTTGTATACCGAGCGCTGGAGAAAGAACCTGTTCCATCTGTCCTACCACAATCCTTGATACCCCCATCCAAGAGGAAGAAAACACCCACATTTCCAGGAGCTGTCCCTGTGCTTCCTGCTAGTCCCCCACCAAAGGACAGTTTGCGTTCAACTCCATCTCATGGCAGTATGAGCAGTTTAAACAGTGCTGGGAGCTTGTCACCAAAACACTCCACAAAGTCTAACCAGGTACAGATAAAAAAATGTTTTTACTGTTGTTTTGCTACAACAGCAGATTGCGAAGGCATATCTCATTAATGTTTTTTTGTTTGTTTTTTTTTTACTTTCAAGCCTGCTTTGAATTGGGTAGTACCTCTCACAGAAAAGATGCGCTATGATGACATATTCATTCAGACTGACTTGGACATGGATGGCTATGTTAGCGGGCTGGAAGTAAAGGATATATTCATGCAGTCTGGACTCCCACAAAATATTTTGGCTCACATATGGTGAGATAAGTGTAAAGACCACTTGCAAATTTTTTTGTGTATTGAATGAAAGCAAGTCATAGAATGTTGTCTTTGTTGGGCTTCTTTCTGCTTGCACTGTGTAAACAATTTCATAGAAATGTTGCTGAGGATGCTATGCAGATTAAATTTGGCAATTGATTCTTACCCAGGTATTTGTTAAAATGTAGTTAATTTTAAAATTTCCAGTGCAGCCCTCTCCTTGTAGAATGAAAAGTTGATTATTAAAAAAATCATCTAAGTTGCCTTGACCAGGTGCCACATGTCCAAAACTATTCAGATGAAACAATTTTGCACATGATATATGGCACTTTTTAGGTACCAAACATACAAATAGGAATAATTAAAAAAGCATTTTCATTGCTACAAAATCTTAAAATCACATAAGAGCTTATAAAATTAATTCATTGTCATAGGTTCAACCTTCATATCAGAATATTAACATTAAACCTCCTTAAATGACCTCAACCCAATGGCTGTTTGTTTTGTTCATGTTTACATAGGAAGCTTTGCTTACCGCATATATCAATACACAATGGCAAGTGTATTCCTTTAGTAAAGATGTCGACTCTTGCAGTGGTGTGAGCATAACCCAACGCATTTCTCAGATTCAAAAGATCTACTTCATCAGGGAATAAAATAGGTATACTGTGTATATCGCTTACACAATTGTTCACTTAAAGAGTTATGCTGTGCACCAAAAGCAAACCTCCTAAAAGAGATTGCAGGTGTCAAAAGAGGTTTCCCAAACCACCAGAGCTACCATAGGGCTTGAACAATCTAAATTGTATATCAAAATATGTCTGGTAGCTCACTAGGACCAGGCAATACATATTAGTTCCAGACAGACACAAACATCAGGACAGCAATGTAGGTGCCCAGACTGGTAGTGAATAGTCCAAGTAGATGGCAAATTCCCTCAAAGACAGGAAATACAGTTAGGCCTCCTTTAGCCATGAACTGTCCCCCTGCCTTTTAGGGGATTTGCTCCCTGTCTGGTTGCTATCTTTTTTTTTTTTTTTTTTTTTTTTAAATCAGGTCTTTTTTTAATTGAAGTTTGGATCCATGTATGTACAAAGTTATACAATCCCAACCTCCATCAGGGGATAGCTTTAGTAATAATTTTCAACAATGCAGTACATATGGACTATATATCAAAGCATACAGAAGACATAAGTGCAGATCCCAAACCACAATGTTTTCCATGTTTTTTTAGAAAAATAAAAAATTATGTAAGAATACAAAAGACCAAAAAAAAAAGCAAAAATACAAAACCAGAACAGTCAAAACGAACCATTCTTCCACCAAACTAAACCTGGAGAACCAAGCTGCCTCAACCTATCCATGATTAAAACAGTAGATAAAAGCCCAATGTCCGCAAGAAATAAACATTTGGTACATACCTGTCTAGGAGCTGATGAGACACCAGCTATATCACAGCAAACCTGAAGAGACTCCTCCACTAATTACTCTGTCCCTGACTAGTTGGATTGGCGCTAATCCCGGTGTACCCAAACAAGCGTCCCGAATAGTTATGAATTTCCGGGCACATCCTCTATGTTGATAGATTAATTTCTCTCTGATTAGGGTATCATTAACAGCTTTAATCTATTGGGCATGGGAAGGGGGGGGGTAGGAGATGACCATTCCTGGGCTATGAGTTTCCGAGCAATAAACAGCACTCGAAGGATGGCAATATAGGTATGGGGCACATATAGCTCCTTGTCTATAGTTCCCAGCAGACAAATCTTAGAATCCAGTTGAAGATTAAGGATCCAAATGCTATTGATCATCATTATAATGTAGGTCCAGTATCTTACCAATTTAGGGCATCTCCATAACATATAAATAAGCGTGCCATTATTAATTTCACACCTTGGACAGAGGGGGGCATCCCTCCTATTCAAGTCGTACAATCTTTGAGGAGTGTGGTAAGTACAGTGAATGATAAAAAGCTGGGTAAGCTTCTGGGTTGGAGATAGAGAGACTTTAATTACATTTTCTAGGATTGTGGACTGTTCCTCATCTGGGATAGTGTCTAAATCAACCGACCATTGTGCCCTACAATTGAGGGACATCGCCTTAGAGACACTGTACACAAGGGATTGATACTACAAGGATATTTGACCCTTTCTAGAGGTTGAGAACATAGTTCGATTAAGTACCACCAGCTCGACAACCATGTAGAGATTTTAGATTGTGCAGATATAGCATGTCTAAGCTGCAGGTACTGAAAAACAAAAGAGTTTAGGTAAGTCATATTCGAGCTGTAAGGTTCAAAAGTCTTTCAGCAGTTGACCATGATACAGTTATGGTATATATCTGATTCCCAACACCATCCAGCCTGCAAAACCCTGCAACTTCTGCAACTCACAGTAGTTAGTAAGATGCGAGTGAATGAGGTATAGCCAGAATAATTCAAATATTTAGCTTAAGACCAAATTTTATCAATCAGTACTAGGGTAGGGTATTGAGACAAAGCTCCAAACTCACCCGCCTTGAGAAATTCTATCAAATTATCGTTGGAGAGAACACCCACTAGGAGCAGCTTAATGGTGTCAGCAATGCCACTGTTTTGTCAGGCAGTGAGGTGTTGAAGCTGCACAGCCATATAATAATAGAATGGATTAGAAACAGTCAACCTCCCAACCTCCCTAGATTCCTGTAGAGTTTCTAATTTTATACGAGGGGATCGCTTTTTTCCAAATCAAAGAGCGAAACACAGTATCAAATTGCTTGAAAACATACATGGGAATTCAAATCGGTGCATTATGCGGGGCATATAGCAGCTGACGGGCCCAGATCATTTTTATTAAGTTACACCTGCCAACCACCGAGAGCGGCAATTTGTTCCAACTAACTTTTTTCTGTCTGAATTTAAGAAGTAGAAGGTGGAGGTTTAGCTGGACATATTTAGACAGGGTAGGATGTACATGTATGCCCAAATAACGGAAAGAATCTACCACCTGAATTTGGGATGCAACCTGCGGTAGGGTGGTTGGCATCAGGTCCAAGGGTAGCAAGGTGGATTTATCCCAATTAATCCTAAAACCAGAAAAGGATCCAAATGTATCGATAAGGGTCATCAGTCTTGTAAGGGAAAGGGACGTATTGCCCAGGAACAATAGGGCATCATCGGCATATAAAGCCAGTTTTTCTTCAACACCAGCTCGTTTAAAACCTTCCATATTCTGATCCCCCTGATAGCCACTGCCAATGATTCTACTGCTAGAGCAAAGAGCAAGGGTGACAGTGGACATCCCTGCCCCGTACTTCTATGCAACGTAAAGGATGGGGATAGGGCATTGTTTACCCGTATTTGAGCTGCAGGAGCCTTATAAAGCAATTGAAGCCAAGAAAAAAAAGTCAGTCCCCAAGTTGAACTTGCCGAGAACCTGCCATAAGTATTGCCATTCCACACTTTCAAACGCCTTTGCAGCATTGAATCTGGTTGCAATCTGATTTAACTTTTGTAGTTCATTTATTTTATATTTTACTTTGATAAGCATTTATATATTCCCTTATGGGATTTTAAGATTTTGTGGCTTTAAATTGGCATTTTACACTACCTATTTGTATATTTGGAACCAAAAAAATCTGTATATCATGTGCTTGAATCTTTCAGGTTCCAACTACTATTTACCACTGACACGTGTGCTTACAATGGTTACATTGTTTATGTTTAAACTTTTTTCCCAAAAGGAAAAAACAAAAACTGTTGCTGTAACTGCTTAACAGATGTTAGCTGGAGTTTAGCTATAATTTGTTAGTCGAGTCCTAGACTAGATCTGTCTAGCATCTAGATGTTCAAGTCTTATGCTAACCGCAATTCCAGAATTCCAAATCATGGCAAAACATGTAATGTGAGTTTGTGTGCCATTATTCTAAATGGCATCCCAAAAGTGGTGCATCACAATCGTGGCAAAATGCACATTTAAAAATCGCACTAGGCTTCTGGCCCAAAAAAGCAGCAGGTGCTTCCTTTGGGCCACAAATGCACATATGGCAGCCCATTGAAGTGAATAGGCTGCCCTACGAGCAACGTGTGTAAATCTGTTTTTTTTTTTTTTTTTTTTTTTTTATTAAATCGCAAGTGGGAACATTCGTTCCTGCAACAGCATATCTGAACAGGCCCTTGCTGGCTGGACCACCAGGTGAAAATTAAGGAAAAAATTATTAAAAGAGAAAACTAATGCGACCATCACATTTTAAGGATTTGTAAACATCCATATATTACATTTTTGTACTTGGGTTGAATACTGCTTTAATTGAAAAGCATAACTGGTATTTTACCTGACTTTTTTAGAAAGCAGTGTAATGAATATTCATAATGTGTGAGAATCAGTTACTTATACAGTAGCAGCCAATAAATGTTTATGAATTCTTATTAGCTTCTATAAGTTACTGAGCTTCTCAGATGATATTATTTCAATATTCCTCTAAGTTTATTAAATCCCTTTGTCAGCACTTGCTTCTGTGTCATATGTATTTATTGAGCTTCAATTAATTTTTTGAAATGTGTATAAACCTTCTAGTTTTAGTAGATAATCTGTGTTTAAAGACTTAATATGTCATCTGTTGCAGGGCTTTGGCTGACACAAGGCAGATGGGGAAGTTAAACAAAGACCAATTTGCACTGGCAATGTACCTTATACAGCAGAAAGTCAGCAAAGGAATTGATCCACCTCAAGTCTTGACTCCGGACATGATTCCGCCAGCAGAAAGGAGCACTCCCATACAGGTAAACGTACAGTGCTTGTTGTGTGGAATGCATCACCTATGCTTCTTTCTGTATTGATACAAAAGTAAAAATTGGCTGACCTGCATTTCATCGTATTGGTAAAATAATGCTCTCGCTGCTTGGATATCAAATCATAAGTAGCAAATGTTTATAGATAATTAATGGAGGGGTTTTTCTGTTTACAGAATACATCTTTAGGTTGCACCACTGCCACACCTCAAGCTGAGGAACCAAACTGCCAGTGCACCTAAAAATGTACAGTGTGTGCCTAATATTTTTGAGCCTTTTGATTGGGAATGTGCATAAAAAAAACTATTAATTGGGTGAGGGCCAACTGCCTTCTTTGCTTTCCCAGTAGTATACATACCCCACTCTGCTAAACTTTCTCCACTGGTCGCAGCCTGCCCCAGTAGTTGTGCACCTTTCTTTAATCTGAGTTGGAGTATTGCAATGTACTACACATGTACAGCTTTTCTCCATAATCCCCAATGAAGAATTTGACTATTTGTAAGTCTGCACATCCCGTATACACCACAGCACATTGGCTCAGTGAAGAATACTATAGAACTGCTATGACTGAATGAAGAAAATAATGATTGATTTGAGGTTAGTAATGTGGGGGCGTGCAAGTTGAGCCGCAACTAAAATAAGTCTTAGGTTCCATGCACTCTGTAAGCTCATAATAGTGTTTTTTTGTGGTAGCTTTTAGCTTCCATACTGAAATAATATGCATGGGCACATAGGATAACACTATTTGCTTCCAGCAGTTGTTGGTGGTGGAGAGTATCTGAGAAATCATATTCACCACTGTATGCAAAAGTTGTGAATATATATTATCATGTCTTTTTCAGGGGCCAGTAGACATGCATATCTCTCTACCGTTGCCTTATGGATGATGGGGCAAAGTATTTCGGTGTTGAATTTATCAGGTTATAAATGATGGAGGGGGGCTTCTCCATCATTTACACTCACTTTCCAACAGTGTAAGGGGCCTAGCAAAGGATTTGCAGGTGGCAAAGTACAGATAAATTAAGATAATTGCGCTGCCCTCCAGAACCCTCAGGAACTGGCTGAAAGTCATATAGTGTAAGGTCAAATTTAGATGGCAGGTTGCCGTCTAGAGTAAACCATCTGGTTGAGCGAGCCTTAGTGGTTTGTGGCCCCTTAGAATCTGATGAAATGTTTGGTTTACAGACTTAAGAATGAGAATGGAATGTGTACAGACAACACTTGTGACAAATATAGTGTATGCAGTCGGATATTCGTTTTTTAAAAGTTGCACTGTCCGACCCACAAGAAGTGGCCTGTGTGCCACTGACTGAGATCTTTCTGAATCTTGAGCAGGAGAGGAGAGTTAAGTAGATCAAGTTTGGAAGAGGTCCCCTGGGCTATTTATACCCAAATATTTAATAGCTGAATTTGAGAATTTGAAGTTATCAGTAAGTGCTGTTAGAGGTATGTAAATCTACAGATTGTTGTTAATTGATTTGGACGTTATAGACCTAAAAAGTGAAAATTTGACTATGAGGTTGTAGAAGTGAATGGCTAGCAAGTATACAAGAATGGTCTGTTTCTTGATCTTCAGAACAGAAACAGGCACTTTTCCATAAAGTTTGCTGAAATCCTTGCAAAAGTACATATGTAGTTTATCTGGCAGAGGGTATATTTTTTTCCTCAACAAACGTTTTGAGATTATTAGTAACTGATATTACTAGTACAGTGGGGCAAAAAAGTATTTAGTCAGTCACCAATTGTGCAAGTTCTCCCACTTAAAAAGATGAGAGAGGCCTGTAATTGGCATCATAGGTAGACCTCAACTATGAGAGACAAAATGAGAAAAAATATCCAGACAATCACATTGGCTGATTTGGAAAGAATTTATTTGCTAATTATGGTGGAAAATAAGTATTTGGTCAATATCAAAAGTTCATCTCAGTACTTTGTTATATATCCTTTGTTGGCAATGACAGAGGTCAAACGTTTCCTGTAAGTCTTCACAAGGTTGGCACACACTGTTGCTGGTATGTTGGCCCATTCCTCCATGCAGATCTCCTCTAGAGCAGTGATGTTTTGGGGCTGTCGCTGGGCAACACGGACTTTCAACTCCCTCCAAAGGTTTTCTATGGCGTTGAGATCTGGAGACTGGCTAGGCCACTCCAGGACCTTGAAATGCTTCTTACGAAGCCACTCCTTCGTTGCCCGGGCGGTATGTTTGGGATCATTGTCATGTTGGAAGACCCAGCCACGTTTCATCTTCAGTGCCCTTGCTGATGGAAGGAGGTTTGCACTCAAAATCTCACGATACATGGCCCCATTCATTCTGTCCTGTACATGGATCAGTCGTCCTGGTCCCTTTGCGGAGAAACAGCCCCAAAGCATGATGTTGCCACCCCCATGCTTCACAGTAGGTATGGTGTTCTTTGGATGCAACTCAGCATTCTCTCTCCTCCAAACACGACGAGTTGTGTTTCTACCCAAACAGTTCTATTTTGGTTTCATCTGACCATATGACATTCTCCCAATCCTCTTCTGGATCATCCAAATGCTCTCTAGCAAACTTCAGACGGGCCCGGACATGTACTGGCTTAAGCAGGGGGACACGTCTGGCACTGCAGGATCTGAGTCCCTGGCGGCATAGTGTGTTACTGATGGTAGCCTTTGTTACGTTGGTCCCAGCTCTCTGCAGGTCATTCGTTAGGTCCCCCCGTGTGGTCCTGGGATTTTTGCTCACCGTTCTTGTGATCATTTTGACCCCACGGGGTGAGATCTTGCGTGGAGCCCCAGATCGAGGGAGATTATCAGTGGTCTTGTATGTCTTCCATTTTCTAATTATTGCTCCCACAGTTGATTTGTTCACACCAAGCTGCTTGCCTATTGCAGATTCAGTCTTCCCAGCCTGGTGCAGGTCTACAATTTTGTTTCTGGTGTCCTTCGACAGCTCTTTGGTCTTCACCATAGTGGAGTTTGGAGTGTGACTGTTTGAGGTTGTGGACAGGTGTCTTTTATACTGATAACAAGTTCAAACAGGTGCCATTGATACAGGTAATGAGTGCAGGACAGAGGAGCCTATTAAAGAAGAAGGTACAGGTCTGTGAGAGCCAGAAATCTTGCTTGTTTGTAGGTGACCAAATACTTATTTTCCACCATAATTTGCAAATAAATTCTTTCCAAATCAGCCAATGTGATTGTCTGGATTTTTTTTCTCATTTTGTCTCTCATAGTTGAGGTCTACCTATGATGCCAATTACAGGCCTCTCTCATCTATTTAAGTGGGAGAACTTGCACAATTGGTGGCTGACTAAATACTTTTTTTGCCCCACTGTATATGGAGTCAAATTATTCCTTGTATATCAACTCTGACTGTTGTGTTCATAGTGCAGAGGGAAAAAAAACACTTGTATAGAAAACCATTATATGTAGGAAAAGATGAGAGAAACACTAGGAGACTGAAGGGCAAAAATTAGTAAGTGCAGAGACTTCGTTATGTAACTGAGGGTGAATTTTGCTGTGATGTACGGTACATGCTGCATCAGAAGCTCTGTTTAATCCCTCCCTAGAAAGTGAAAAAAACAGGTGCATGCAGTAACTTTCAAGAAGCTATTAGGTCCTTTTCTCACAGGGTGAATCCATTTTGCTCAGCAGGGGATTTGTTCGCTGATCTCCTGCTGAGCAGAGCAGAGTGGGTAGATAACAGATCCATGTCCGCTCCACTTATGCAGAGTAGACATGGACACAGCCCACTCTGCTCTATTGGGCAATAGGATGTAAACCGGCTGTCTTTTTTACAACTGACTGCCTTCCAATCTGGGCTGCCCAGACGGAAGGGAAACAAATCCCCATCCATTTGTTTTTGGTGGATCGGATTGGAGGTAGGCGGAAATAAACAGACACAAGTCTGTTTACATCTGCCACTCCATAGAGGCAAATGAAGGGTACGATCGAGACCGCCTGAAAAATTTAATAGGCAAACCCAATTGGACCATGTGAAAGGGTCCTTATGGGTATGACTAGGAATCACAATACTCAAAATGAAACCCATCTGGGGAGAGAACAAAAATGCTCTCTTGTAGTGGGGCCACCCCCTCACAGCAAGGGTCAAATGTTTGTTTGTGTCTAGGGGGCTGCAAAAGCAGTTTTACATACTGGATTCTCCAGTCCACAGTGGACATTTTCTCGGCGGCGTCCTGTCGAGTGCAGGGCTATGGGCTCTGCATTGGTCTTGATGATAGTGGAGGAGGAATTCTGACCTGCATAGGGGGAAGAGACTATGAGGACCATTCTTACAAGCCAGAGGGAACCTGTGGGAGTGGAGGATTTGGTAAATAAAAATGCTTATCTTAATCCTACAGTAAAAGACACAGGCAAAGTATTAAAAGACACTGGGTCATGGGCTAATACCATCAGGTGATTAACACTGGCATTCTTTTTGTGGACATGCCCACTGAGCACCTCCCCTGTAATCCTACCCCATTTTGTGAGTTCTAGTGTCCTAGGGTGTGATAGACCTCTTCTTCTCCACAGTGAAATTACTCTTAGTTTACTACTTTTTTCTTTTTCTTTATTAATTCTCAAATTTTTCAGTCAACTCCTCACTGCCTTCTAATACCACAAGTAGAAGCAGTGCCTCCTGAATCTGCGTTACCTTGAGAGCTGTACCTTGACCCCGCGTTATCAGGATGGCTTGTAATGTTGCTCTGCGCACTGGATCATGCATGGGCAATCGCATTGCCTGGACTTTATATATAGTCCATAGTCATGGACAGGTAGGGCAGGGACACACTGTATGCTTTTGACCGTGTTAAAGACTGGAGTGATATTTGAATTGTATTCACTAAAGTGTAAATGTTTCAAATTTGGTCGTAAAACTCAACAACTTTGAGCCTAGTTTCAGGTGTATGACCAGGTGTGACATCTTTTTACCACAGGTCACTCATTTTATTGCTACGTCCACCAAGAGCCCTCTATATGGTACTCAGGTGCTTTCTCCCACCCTTTTCGCC